TTCTAATATGGTTTTTAGTTTGGTCTGTTTTTTCTAGGTGGGCAATCTTAACATAACATGAATAATAACAGACTTATTCCTAACCTCTGTGCCTTTTTTAATCACACTGGTTAAGCCTTTCAGAACAATACCGAATACCAGAGGCAAGTGCAGGCATACTTATCTTATTCCTGAACTTAAGATAAAGTAATTCCAGTGCCATGCTTTTTAATTTAATGTGTTTGTTTCTCATGATAGTTCTTCTCAAACTAATAAAGTTTCTTTTTAGTTCTAGTTTAAGAGTTTCATCAAAAAATGCTGACTTTTGTTTAATGACCTTTTCTTCATCTATGAAAATATTTACTCCCTGACTCAAGCAACTCATTAATAAATTCCTAATGTTAAACCATCCTTATATTCCTGGGAGTAAAAAGGCCTTCTGGTATTTTCTCTTAATATAATGCTTTATTTCATTTGCTATCATTTTATTTAGTGAGAACAGACTACAAGTTTTTATGCAATTCGTGTCCAGATCTAGTAATTGTCTGAGCCTTTAAAGAGAACCTGAAGGTTTTGTTATCTTTCTGCTCTGCAACAGTTCACATAACGCAAAAGGTCAAGCTTTCTCAAGTATAGAACTCACTTACCGAACCTCGGGGCCTGGTGCCTCTCTGATGACCTCTGCCTTCCCCAGCTTTTAGTCTAACCAGTATTCTCCCTAAGATAATTACTACCTGTTTGAGAGTCAGGGAAGTGTGGCAGTGCTTTGCAGTTGAGATTGTCAGGGCCTACCTATATCCTGCTTCAGCCGCTTCCTTGTAGACCTGCAGTTCTGTTCTCTCAGACTGATTTCCAGGGTGTTCAGAACAATCCGCTATTTATCTAGCTGTGTTTGAGGGACGATGCAAGCTTAGGGTCCCACTACTCCTCCACCATCTTAACTCTACCCCCTCTGCCTCAGCCACTTCCAGTTGTGTTTTTGGTAGATTACTCTCCAGGTTTTAATTCCTTTATCTGTATAATGGGGCACATAACAGTACCTACTTAATAAAACTGTTGTGAAGATTATGAGCAAATACACACAAAGCACTCAGAACTGCGCCTGGCCCACTCAAAGTTTCAATAAATACTAGTTATTACTTAGGATATTTTTCAAATTAATTAGAATAAAGCTACCCACAACAATCTTTACTTCAAAAATATCCTCTGAAGGGGTGCCTGGATGGCTCAGTCATTGGGCATCTGCCTTCGGCTCGGGTCATGATCCCAGGGTCCTGGGATTGAGCGCCACATTGGGCTCCCTGCTCAGCGGGAAGCCTGTTTCTCCCTCTCCCACACCCCCTGCTTGTGTTCCCTCTCTCGTTGAGTCTTTCTCTGTCAAATAAATAAATAAAACCTTTAAAAATTAGTAAAAATAAATAAAAATATCTTCTGAACATTATTGAAAATTATTAATATTGTCCGTTTATGTTTTCTTTTTTCCTTGACCAGACTTGCCAGATGTTGATCAATTTCACTGGCTTTTTCTTTTCTTTCTTTTTTTTTTTTTTAAAGATTTTATTTATTTATTTGTTAGAGAGAGAGAGTGCGTGGGAGCACAGGCAGACAGAGTGGCAGGCAGAGGCAGAGGGAGAAGCAGGCTCCCTGCCGAGCAAGGAGCCCGATGTGGGACTCGATCCCAGGACCCTGGGATCATGACCTGAGCTGAAGGCAGGGGCTTTAACCCACTGAGCCACCCAGGCGTCCCTCACTGGCTTTTTCAAAGAACTAGTTGGCTTCATTTATCCTACCTCATCTTTAAAATTTCTTCATTCATCAATTTCATTCCTTTCCTACTTTCTTGAAATGAATACTGAGTTCATTTGTTTCCAGACTCTGTTAATGTCTATTAAATACGTTTGCCTCTGCATAATACCTGCCTATATCCCATAGGGTTTGATATGAACTGTTCTCATCTTTCTACATTTCTAAATAACCTGCAATTTCAATTCTGATTTCCTCTTTAATCCAACAGTTTTATGGTTCTAGTGATCTGAAGTCAGACGATCTAACCTATATAATTTCTACTTTTTTGGAACTTGTTAGATTTTCTCTATGACCTCTTACATCATAATTCTATTAATATTCCATTAGCATCCATACAGAAAAATATATTTTTGTACTTATATGTGTAAGCTATAAAATCATGCTGTATTATTCGAATTCTTTAGAGCCTTATTTAACAGCTTTTGCTATGAACATTTCAATGCTAAATGCATGGTACAAAAAGGTTCATGGTCATCAAATCCACTTAAAGGATATTAGATTCTATCAATATCAATTAACATTCCTGTCTCATCGAACCACTCCTCGACCCCCCTGAATTCCATTTCATCTTGTGTTAGGTGCTATTCCTTGCGTCTGTCATCAATCTGGCATATATCTTTGTTTTTCTGACATTTTTATCACTTGCCTTAAACAGTAGAGCAAGATTTTTATGTTAACTCAATCTGGAAGCTTCTATCTTTTAATAAAGGAAGTGGTGGCACTTCACAAGCATCATAATCTATTCAAATCTAAATTTTGCTGATTTTTTTAACATAAAAATTAGTTTGTCTTATGTTTACAAAGTACAGCAAAATTGGTAGGTAGGTGGCAAAAAATATTTTGCTAATTCTAAAGGAATTCTGTCTAAATATAGTTAACTGCAATATGTAATAAAACCCCACCAATACTGACAAAATAACAGGAGCATTTTGCAGGGATGTCTGGAAGTTTCAGTTGTTACATTCTAGCTGATAGTAATGACAAATTTCTAATACTGAGAAGCTGGTATGATTTGAAAGAAACAGTTTTAAAGGCACAGATATACGAGAGATGCAGAGACAAAGAGACAGGACATGTAAGTGAGGAGCCTGTGAGGCTGAAATATAGAGAAGCTACTAAAAATAAGAAAAAAAATTCAGTTACCACATTTACAGAAAAAGCCATTAAGTTTCTATGTCCTGTATATACAGTTCTATTTCGATAAACTTGAGTTGCACCTTTAAAACGGATGTGCACTTGTTTATTATCTTCGTTTATTATCTCCCCAAGAGCTATCAATTGAAATGATGTTATAGTTTATAATCAACTATGTCAGAGAAATGAAGAAATATGAAAGACAATGTATTTATAAAAGGGCCCCTAATTTTTTAACAAGATTCAAAATAAAAGTTATCATTTCAAAGAGCGAAGTAGAGAAGTAGAATGAAAGAACGCCTAGCTCTGGGGGCCCCTGGGTGGCTTTCAGTCAGTTAAGTTTCTGCCTTCAGCTCGGGTCATAGTCCTAGGGTCTTGGCATCGAGCCCCACATTGGGCTCCCTTTTTGGCAGGGGGTCTGCTTTTACCTCTGCCCCTGCTCATGCTCTCTCTCTTGCTCACTCTCCCTCAAATAAATAATAAAATCTTAAGGAAAAAAAAAAAAAAAGAATGCCTAGCTGTGAACACAGGTTAAGACTTAGCAGATATATCAGTGCAAAACAAATACATTTTTTTATTAAAATATCTGCTCTCTTACCAATCTCTACTGAATCAGCTCTAAAAGAGATTGAGTAATGCAGCCTGTACAATAAGAATCTGTGGCTACCAGGCTCTTCTCTATGAAATCCACACATCTTTGCTGCAGAGTTAAATGCTTATAAAGAGTCAGCTGTGTCCATTCCCAAACCTGTTTATTACAATTGTATTTATTTCTGTAATTACATGAATTAAGTACTATATAAGCAGATGATATATGAGTAGAAATAGAAAAGACAGTTTTTGGTGCTGTGAAAACTAAACTGAATGCTTCAGAAAAACTGAAAGGCAAGCTACTAAAAAAAAAAAAAAGTCTGTTCCACTTCATTGCAGTTAGAGGAAAAATCTGTAGAAATACAGAAATATTCTGCATTTAGATTTCTTAGAAATTTAAGTTCTTTGTTCTACTGTGAGGAAACCAAAACTAAAAAACTTTGATAATGTGTCAGTGACAGCAGGGTTATGCAAAAGTAATGGGGAGAAACAGATACCTACTGAAAGAAAAAAAACCATCTAGGGTTATAGCAAAAGATTGATGAATAAGTATAAATTTATACTGAGTGTTCTTAAGAAGTAATTTCTAGCTTTAGTACTTAAATTTTTTTTTCTTTGTTTTTTAAAGCAGGCTCAATGCCCAGCAGGGAGCCCAGTGTAGGGCTTGAACTCATGACCCTGAGATCAAGACCTGAGCTAAGATCAAGAGTCCAAGGCTTAACCCACTGAGCCACCCTAGCTTTAACTCTTTTTAAATTAACCGATAATTACCACCAGTCAACACTGGCTAACAGGCTTTCTTTTAACGTAAATTGGAAAACAGTAATTATTATTTCCTGGCAACCTTAAAGCCTGATGTATGTTTTCTTCAAAATTTAATTTTACATAGTTAAGAGATAAAGAGAAAATCTTGGAAGAAATCAGAGAAAACAGAAGGCCAGACAAGGATGATGGCTAACTGCTTATCAGAAACAATGAAAGACAAAAGACAATGAATTATATCAACAAAGGAAAGGGGGGGGTGGGGGGTGGGAGGGTCTATACTCAGTGAAAATATGCTTCCAAAATGAACAAAAATTTTCCATTTTCAAATAAAGGTGAATTAGTCTCCAGCAGATCTGTACCTAACTCTTCCTCAAAAAGGCATTTTAGAATGCAGATAAATGAGTGTAACACTAGTATAGGCATAAACTCTAACCTGATCTAACTGTAATATTATTTAATTAAAAAGAAATAATTTGTAAATTCTAGTCATTTATTGTTAGTTATAAAATATCGCTGACCAGCCTCACAACTGCCATGACACAGGGGCATGTCCCCACCATATGTGGGTGGCTGCTGATATGTAACCTGACATTGCAGTGAAGGAAGCACTGCTCATTCATTCTTCAATTACAATAATCAGCAATAATCGCGCCTCAGATAAACCTCATTGGCTACGATACTGCCGCTGTGCAAAGCTACTGCTCATTCATTAGGAGCAAACTTACCTCTTTGTTTTGGAAAAATCTGTTCAGGATGCTGTAAAATAAATTACAGTGCATTAATTACTGTAACATAAACCTAAGTGAAATTTTAAAAATATTAATGAAGAGAATTACCTTCATTACTGGCCTGGCTTGCTTCTCAAACAAACCACTCGGAAAAAGGTAAGCAATAGCTCTCTGAAAATATACACAAAGGTTAATTAACAATGGTTATAAACACAAGTTAATGTTATGACTAATACTTTCTGAATGCTTAGTACACGCCAGAGATCTCATAATCTTTTCAACAGGAGATAAAAATGACCACATACACATCCCCCAGAGAAAAATTATTTGTCACTATTAAACTGGTTATTAACAATTTTCAAGTGTCAGTTTCAAACATACATGTGCTCCCATGAATCCCTCTTTTATTTTTTTATCATTTTTTCAAGATTTTTATTTATTTATTTGTCAGAGAGAGAGCGAGAGAGCGAGCAAGCGAGCACAAGCAGGCAGAGGAAGAGAGAGAGAGAGAAGCAGGCTCCCCGCCAAGCAAGGAGCCCGATGCGGGGCTCGATCCTAGGACCCTGGGATCATGACCTGAGCCGAAGGCAGTGGCTTAAGGGACTGAGCCACCCAGGCGTCCCCAAATCCCTCTTTCAAAAGCAAACAAGAGGTGCCCCTCTACAACCTCTGTGGTAATGTGCTCAGGAGCCCCGCTTTGGACCAAATACTGAGAAGAGCAGGCTCCAAGCCTCACCCACCATGATAGCCCCAGTGTTTTTAGATGCTCTCTGAACTCTTCCTAGGAAGTTTTGAGAGGTTTTTATACTACATTTTCCCAACCGGGTTCTCTGAAATGTCTGTCTCTCAATGGGGACGCTATTGGCATTCTGAGTGTGACAGCTCAATTGTACGCAGCCTTGCCCTTCCCTGTCCTGTAGGTCACTTAACAGCCCTGGCCCTTCTCCACCATCTCTGCCGGTAATAACCCTAGCACCTGTGACAAATCTTGCCCGCACACATTTCCAAAAGCCCTCCATCTCCCAGGACTGCCACCAACTTGAGAACAACTGTGTAAGCCATGCCAATGTCTTCGCCAACACCACTCCTCACAATCAAAAGCAAACCACACGCATTTTCCTTTCTCTCGAATGGTGTCAGATGGGAAGTCTGTGGAACTCTAACTGAACTGGCAGCTCACGTAGACACAGCGCTGCTCTGTTGGAGAAGCTGCTCTCAGGATGGGCCTCTGTGCCCTCTCACGCAATGTGCTTAGACCGGATTCCACCCCTGAAAGTCAGGGGTCTGTAACCTGGGGCTTATCAATTCAGTTATCTTAGGGAGCCCATCTGTGTCTCTGAGTCAAGCTTCATTCTCCCATTTGGCCTTCTGGCAGTAAAACGGACACTTAAGAAACCCTTCGATCACACAGCAGAGTGCTAATTTTGTGAACATTTTTTTTTTTAAAGCCAGGGGCGACTCTGCCTTTCCTTCTCTGAGGGAGAAAAGGTGGACTTTTTAATAAGTGATGTTGAGACAACTGATTGCCATTTGGAAAAAGATAAAAGTGGACGCAAACCCGACACCATATACAAGGATAAGCCACAGATGGGTCAGACGGCTGAACACAGAAAATCAAACAAGTATGAGGAGAAAACATGGCGAATTCCTCTATATAAGCTACACCTCCACAGGCAAAACCAACACCATCACAGGTTATTCGCTGATTTACAACCACAAAATATTAGAACCCCCTCCCCCAAGGTTGGCTGCATAAATGATGGCATGTCCATGCCACCAAGCACTCTAGCCATAAAAAAAGATTGATAAAAGCAAGACACAAGGGAAATGTGCTTAGAGTGTGACCTTTGGTGTAAGAAAAAGAAATAAGAAAATACATATAGGAATAGGGGACAATATACATAGGTTTCTTTCCATAAGAAACGGTACAGTGTAAACAAATAAAAATGATCATTTATTAAGGGGTAGGTGGCAGCAGGGTGAAAGCTACGGGGATGAGTAAGGCTTTCCTGGGGATGCCTTTATTCAGCTGAACTTTGGAGCACGAATATGCTGTATATATTAAAGACCAACATTTTCAAAAGAAACTCTAAAACTTAATATAAACAAAATAAACCTCCTTTCTTTCTTAAGATTTTATTTATTTGACAGAGAGAGAGACAGCGAGAGACGGAACACAAGCAGGGGGAATGGGAAGAGGGAGAAGCAGGCTCCCCACTGAGTAGGGAGCCCGATGTGAGGCTGGATCCCAGGACCCCGGGATCATGAGCTGAGCTGAAGGCAGAGATTTAACAACTGAGCCACCCAGATGCCCTATACAAACCTAATTTCTAATGACAAAAACAACAACAACAAAACACCACAACAGCAAAGAATTCTTTAACTTTACTTGGAAGGCTTATTGTTAGTAATATTAATATTAAAATTCTGAAACATTTTGTGTCTGTTATAGCATAAAGTAAATAAAGGTATCAATTTTATGGTGACCAAGATGTTACTCAGGAGAGAAGATACAAACATAAAAGAAATGTAATGTTAAGCTTGAATTAGACAAACCAAAACATACTTGGGATCTTTAAAAAATATTATTTCCTGGATTATTCCTATAATATTTAAAAGAGATTACTTTTTAGTTCTGTCCCCTCAAAGAGCACAGATGTAATGAAACTCTAGAATCAAGGAGTGGCCTCTAGCATCCAAATCTTGGTTTCTAAACACAGTTTCCTAGTATAAAGAACAGAGCATCTCAGGAAAAGGATTAATCCTAGGCCTAAGGCAGGGAAAGTACAGAATAAGCCTGAGACACCTTCCTGTGCCAGAAAACAAGAAAGTGCTTGAAAGGACAGAGAAACCAGCTTCAAGAAGCTCCCACTGGCCACACTTGCGACAATGTGAACATCAAAAAGAACAATGACAATGCCTGGTAACATACTCAATACATACATGTTGAAGAGTGTGCCTCTATAAACACACACACACACACACACACACACACACACACACTCACTCTCTCGCTCTCCAGGGTTCTGAAGTAGGAAGCAAGGAGAAAAGGAAGGCCTCTTTATGAAACAATACCAGTTAATAAAAGTAGAAGGAATGAAGGAAGTAGAAAATCACTGTTTTATAACCTCCAAAGTAATCTTCAATTTCAGCCAAGGATCACCAGTGGATGATAAAGTCATTGGCTGAAAGGTTACTGGGGACTAGAATATTTAAATGGACCCCAAATAATCACCCTACAGATGACTTAGTTATGAAGGGAAAAAAATCACTTTTACAATAAAGAGGTCGGTGGGCACCACATTAACCAAGGGGTCAGATGTACAATCAATAGTGGGACAAGCTCATTATATACCTCCTGGTGTGAGGGAACAAGAAGTATACAATATCACACAAGTATTACCCTTTATACATTCTAAATCTAATCACCAGGAGCAAGCAGAAAGCCAGAATGTAGACAACCGTATAAGACAAGTGGTCTGGATTCTACAAAACTAGCTAGCTATAAAGACATTTTAGGGAAAACTGAGGAAATTTAAGTATAGACTATAGATTATAGAGTGTTACAGATTTATTGTTAATTGTATTAGATATAAACGTGGTTACCATGGAAAAATGGTATGAAGGATGTATGTATGTAGGGCTAAAGTGAATGCGGATACATTTAGGGGTTAGGTGTTATGATACTGCATTTTCAACTCACTCAAAATAAGTTTTATATATACAGAGAGAAAGGGAATGTGGCAAAATGTTAACTGTCAAATCTATGTGAAAGGTATGTATGTGCAAGTGTCTTTGTATTCATCAAATATTCAAGTTTTCTGGAAATTTGAAAAATTTGAAAATAAAAAGATGAGAAACGTTAAAAATTAAAAAGTAAGTCCCTCGGGTCTTTCCAAATCTAACCTGTCTCCGCAGGGCCACCATGAGACTACAGCACCTATAGTAGCCCAGCTGGCCTTCAGGCCTGGTTCCCACAATCAGCCATGGCACTCCCAAGGCTGGTCAGACATCTTAGCCAAGGGGCTACTGACTCAAGGCCTGGGTGAGAATAACAGCATGGAAGACGGATGTACAACTCTGCAGCCTGGGGTAAGCACGCCAGGATTACAAGGGTGAAAGTCCAATCAACTTTTGAATCAGGTTCAAGCTGTCACTGGTATCATTTTCAAATATAAAAATTACTAGTGGGACACCTGGGTGGCTTGGTGGGTTAAAGCCTCTGCCTTCAGCTCAGGTCATGATCCCAGGGTCCTGGGATCGAGCCCCGCATCTGGTTCTCTGCTCCGTGGAGAGCCTGCTTCCTTTTCTCTCTCTGCATGCCTCTCTGCCTACTTGTGATCTCTGTCTGTCAGATAAATAAATAAAATCTTAAAAAAAAAAATTACTAGTAACCTAGGTGACTAATGAAAGTGTTCAAGAAAGCAATGAAAATGTAAAGAATTTCATCCCGCAGCAGATTTCTCATGAAAACTAAGACATACACAAGTCATGAGGAAGTTAACCAGTAGAACTTGAAAATAAGGCACTGACTGCAAAGGGTGTCTAGGTCTTACAGGCAATCTCTGTATTGACTTAAAAAAAAGTTAGTAAAGATTTTGGTAGAAATATTCTGAAATTTCCTAGAAGGATCAGGAAAAGTAGCACTGCCTTAGACAAACAAACAAACAAACAAACAAAAACCTCAGCTAAGAAAAAACACATATTTACTAATTCATAATTCCTCACTATATTAGATGATAATGTTGATTTTATTTATTTTAGAAAGAATGTGCGATGCAGGGGGGGTGGGCAGGAGGAGAGGGAGAGGAAGCAGACTTGGCGCTGACCGTGAGCATGACACAGGGCTCAATCTCATGACCCTGAGATCATGACCTGAGCCAAAACCAAGAGTCAGATGCTTAACCAACTAAGCCACCCAGGCACCGCAGGTGATAATAATAACACAACCAACTACACTCTATTGTATTAACTATATTATGCTATATTATACACTCTATTACTAATTACTGACAGGGCATGTACAAGGTACTCTGCTATATTGTACCAACTATATTATATTTGTACCAAATTATAGTAGGTTTTGTACTAAGTACTGTGGAAAAGGTCCATAGAGTAAGACACCACATTAGATAAACAGCAAAATCACAGGTTCAGTAAAAATAATAAAA